GCCTAATTTAGGACTCCCACCCTCAAGAGCAAATGGTTTGCTCAATTAACCCAATGTAAACAAGGTCCTACTGAGGAAGTTGATTCTTATCATGTATCTATTGAGGAGCTTCTTCAGCATGTCAAATCGGGAGGATATCGTTATCCAGGAACTGCAAAAGCCCAGATATTTATCAATGGCTTTTGGCCTGAGCTCTCAACTGCAGTTTTTCCCTTTATACCCAATACCTTAAATGCTGCTTATGAACGTACTAAGGCATTTGAGAACTTGTTCAAACAAAATCCTCTTTATCATAACCTCTATTTAATAGTGATTCCCCATGTTTCTCCATATACCATCCCTAATTCTTTGGTTCCCAACTCTCTTTCTAATCATCTTCTTTCAATCGGGTTTCTGATAGTCAGTCCCCCAAGATTGAAGACGTTCTTGTTAAACTAACTAAAGCCATTATCACATAATAACAAAACTACAAGAATTCAAAGAAACTCCTGCAGAAATCTCAGAAATTGGAATAGTACTCTCTGGTACCCTTGTAATCAGTATGAACAAATAGATCATTATGCTTGAAATTGCCCCAACCCTTTATCTCAAGCTGCTAGAAATAATGTAGCTATTAGAAGTAATACTATCCTCCTTGGCCAGAATAATGGTATCTGAAATAATCCTCTGGCAAACAACAACAATGATGCTTCTACTCGGACCAAAGGGAATGAGGCTCGGATTTTTTTAAAACTCTATGTTAATAATGATGATTCCTTATTCTTCCTGCTGACGATTCTGAACAAGTGGCCAACAATAAGAGATGTCATACCGATGAGCTAGTTCTTGAAGGATATGATGAAGAAATGACACCTCCTGATGATACTGAGGGAGCCTCTAAAAAGTTAACGTCAGAAATGAAATCAAACAAAGAAGGTATCCGAACAGCTATATTTAGGAAGAAAAAGGCTGAAGATAATCCTCCGCAAATTTTTGCCCTCATTCCTTATTATTCTATCATATCGAATATCCATAATAAACCTGCTAATATCATGTTGGGTCAGTTATTAAAGGTGGTTCCCTCTTTCTGTACAGACTTGGTTAAAAGTCTTAGAAGGCCAAAAGCTTTCAAGAAAAGAGCTCGAGCTTTTGCTAATATCCAGCCTACCCCTAAGTCTACTGCCTTATATTGTGATACAACAGCCCATGGTAAGGTTATCTCTCTTATCGTTGATAGTGGTTCTTCTAGAAGTGTTGTATCGTCTCACTTGCTTAGTAAACTAAGCATCAAAGTTGAAAGACCCTCCACTATGAACATGGTTAATATCTATGGTCAAAGTAAAAGAGTTATCAGTGAAATTTAAGAATTTTTTTTTTCTGTTGGAGGTATCACGGTTCCTGTTGATGTAGCCATCACAAATGCTTCATCATATCAGGCCATTGTGGAAAATAATTGGCTCTCAAAAGTCAATACCAATATTAACTATAACATCTCAAAAATGATATTCTAGTAGGATAATAAGGAAATCATCATCCTAGTCAAATTCAGGAAACTTCAACATACCTCTATTCAAAGTAATCACTCCTTAAGATCACCAAGGTAAAACCCATAGAATATGGTGAATTCGAGGAGTCTGAGTCAGAGAAAGAAACTGAGAGTGAGTTTAAAGAGAAAGAACTTGAAGACTGTCTTTTTGGGTTCTTTGAAAATAAAGAGATCATCTTCCGGTATTCTTGTCAGAAGGACAGGGATTTGTATGAATCTTGTGATGAGTTAAGTGTAAACTCTAAGGTGTCTAAGTATAATATGCGACCTAAGGGTTGTGAAGCCGATGATGTTTGGTAGAAATTGGAAAGTGATAATGATTATGAAGTAGAAAGTGATGAAGAAATCTTTGACTTCAATAATAACGAATACGAACTTGGTCATGACTTTTTCTTTGATCAGGTGAAAGAGTTATCTCAAGAACTTAATATAGAAGAATTATGGGAAGATGATCATGAAAAATTGAAAGATTTACTTGTCAAATATGATGATCTTTTCGCATGGACTTCTCAAGACTTGGGTCATACCAGTCTCATTACTCACCCTATCTTTATTGATAATACCTCTCCTATTAAGCAGCAGTATTATCACACATCCTCTAAAGAACAGGAATTTTTGAAAACAGTAATTGATAAAATGCTCTGGAAGAATCTTATTTAACTTTCTTACAGTCTCTAGGCTTCTTTTATTGTGCTTGTCAAGCAATATGACAAGACCCATTTTTGTATTGATTATTGCTGTCTCAATGCCATCACAAAAAAGGACAGTTATCTCTTACCCCGAATCAACGACCTTTTAGATACCCTCTGGCGTTCTTCTTGGTATACGTCTTTTGATCTTGCTAGTGGTTACTGGCAGATTGAGATGAATCCTCACGACAAGAAAAAGACTGTTTTCACATCACAATTTGGCATTTTTGAGTTTAACGTGATACCTTTTGGTCTTATTAATGCTCTTGCAACCTTTTAAAGATTAATAGATCAGATTTTTAGAGAAATCATTGGAGAATTTGTAGTCGTCTATCTAGACGATATCAATATCTTCTTCTCCACTTTCGATGAACATATTTAGCATTTGGCCAAAGTATTCGATCGTATTCAGAGTGCAGGACTTAAGTTAAATCCAAAGAAGTGTCACTTTGCTAAAAATAAATTAAAATTTCTGAGATATATAGTTAATGAGGAGGATATATCGACTGACCTGAAGAAAGTGAAGATTGTAAAGAATTTCTCTACTCCAACTAATCTTTGACAGCTGCATGGGTTTCTAGAGCTCGCCTCTTATTATTATCGCTTCATTTGTAACTTCTCGAAGGTCACCTCTTCACTTAACCGATTGTTGAAAAAGAATATCAAATATATATAGACAGAAGATCAAGAAAATGCTTTTAATACTCTCAAGGAGAAACTCATCATGGCTTCCATCTTGGTTTATCTGGACTTTTCACGAGAATTTCTTCTCATCACAGATGCATCGGGTGTCATACTAGAAGCTATTCTTTCTCAGAAAGATTCTCAGGGAATGAGCGAGTGATTTATTATACAAGTAGAACCATAATACTAGCAGAAAAAAACTATTCTGTAACCGAACAGGAGTATCTAGCCATTGTTTGGTCTGTTTCTTATTTCCATCAATACTTTTATAGGTTCTGATTTACTATAATCACAGATCATTCGGCCCTCAAGTTTCTATTACACTATCAGCTATCGCAGAGACGTCTTGTACATTAGATATTGGTTTTACAAGAATACGAGTTTTTAGTTAAATATCATCTGGGTCATTATCATTCAAATGCCAATAGTTTTTCCTGATTCGCCAATTCATTGGTTCCAAAATCCAAGTCTTCTCGTCATATCACATGTTATATTTGTCGACAGTCTGACCACTATGCTCATGAATGTCATCCTACTTATTCATCAGGATTCGATAAAGATTTCTATATTAATTTGATTCAAACTTCTCGATTTTGACTATCTTTACTCCCTTTCCATATCCTTTATTACATACAACTAGTACTATTTATTCTAACAATTACTTTTATATACTTATTTTCTACTATAGACTATAATCGATATCAAATATACTTTAAATACCTTAGTAATCCCAATTTTTGATACAATTTGCAACCCCACAACAAAAATCTTTATAACACCAAACCCAATACTTTGTTGTAATCAATCAAACACTTTACAAAAAACATCATCAATCGCCCTATCAACTCTTGAGAGTCCTGTTGTCTTATGAAATCACAGTTGTTCTTTTTAGCATGCTCTCTGATCCCCTATCAGAATACACAACACCTTATCAACCCTTTAACAAATCTTTATTTGATATTTTTGGCCACAAATAGGTGAGGATATTAAATGATATGTCAAGTCATGTAACGCCTATCAATGTAAAGGAAAACCCTGAACTTGTAAGCCACTATACTCTATTAAAATCAGCCAACCTTTTAACAGAATTAGAATAGATCTTGTCGATCCCCTGCTCCTTACTAAAAGAAGAAATCAGTATATTGCTATTGCTATAGAATATCTTACCAAATGGCCTGAGGCTTATGCCATACCAGATACATCTGCATCGTCAGTAGCTTCGTTCTTTATAGAAGACATTATTTGTCAACACAGAAGTCTCCATAAGCTCTTATCCAATCAGAAGAAGCATTTTGCCAATAAACTCATCAAGGCTATCTGTGCTCAATTTCAGGTCAATCATAAGTTTTTTTCCCATTATTATCCTCAAATAAACAGTTTGGTCAAATGTTTCAATCGAACCCTTTGCGAAGTATTGGCCAAATGTTTAATTCAGTTCTCAGGAAAGTGGGACCAGTATGTTTCTCCTGCTTTATTTGCTTATCATACCACCAAGCATTCTATCACTCGATATAAGCCATTCTATCTTCTCTATAGTCAGGAGGCTCTATTGCCCTTCGAAGTTACTCATACAGGTTCAGAATTGCTCCTGTTAGATAAACAAGCCTTGCAAGCCAATATTCTCCAAAGAATCAAAGTTTTGTTGAGAGATCTACCTCAAGCCTGTATTAAGGCTCAAGAGAAGACAATTAAAGCTCAAAAGTATCAGAAAGAATGACACAATCAGCTTCATACTATCGAAAGTTATCATATCAGCGATAAGGTTTTTTGTTACCGGTCTTCTCTAGAAGACACCTATAAGGAAAAATTAGAACAGAAATGGGAAGGACCTTTTTACGTTCATGATGCCCCTGGAAATGGTAGTTATAAACTTAGAACCCTTGACAATCAAGTCCTAAAGCAAAAAGTCTATAAAAACTGTTTAAAGCATTATTTGACCTTTGATAAAGGTAATGATCCAGTGGTGTTCTATTGTTAATCTCACAGGAGCTTAATGATCAAGGAGAGGATTGTTACTATCATTATATAAAAATTTTTCTGTGCTTTTGTCACATGTTGATCATTCATTGTAAACTGATAACCATGTTACTTTATTTTTTTTTTTTTCCTTTTCTTTTTATTTTAGTAATACTTTTATAGATTATCCATTTCCTATTTTGTACTCTTGATATATATAGCATATCTTCATTACTATATTTAGCTACCCATAAATAGCTTATAAACATGAAGTCTTTAAGGATTAGACTTATCGATAAAGTCGAATTTTGTCTTGAGATGAGTTTTACTGTTAAGTTATTGGTTTTCGTAATTATTACAATCGTGTATGAATTGCCAAACTTGGAGATAATAATAGAGTTACTCGTATTGTTTCAATTGTTTTGAAGAACAAAATGCATTTAGTTATTA